AGCTCCTTCCCTTAAACATGTCGATGTTCCTTGACATAAGTTTCCTTGGCACGAGGTGTCTTCTAAGACTCACCTCTTATCGACTCTCCTCGCCCGACCTCCCATGAAGGCCGACGCGAATGCTCCTTTGCCCTGTCATGCTAAGGGACTACAGGGATTGCTTTTTGCCCCCCTTTCTGGGCATCGTTCTTAGCCGCTGGAATTGGCATGTCCTCCAATGGAAACGATGGCTGCATGACGTTGTTCTGCATCATGAAGTTGACAACCGATTGTAGGTCTACCAATTTGTTTGCCATTCCCTTCATCTCGCTGTCCCTCTTCAGGCATCTATTTTTCCATACATGGAGGTCGCTTTCGTTGTAATACTCGCCTCAGCCTACCTTCTTTGGTACCTCTGCTTCTTGGCCGATGTCCTTTTCCCCGGGATTCTGCTCCCGGGGTTCTTCATTATAGTTTTCTTCCTCCACATTAGGATCGGTGTGTTTGCCATTTCCACTAGGGATGTCATCCCCGACATTTTCTTTGTGCCCGTCATTGGCCATCTATTCTCCTTACATTCCCAGAAACGACGCCAAATTATGGGTGTTGATTTCCGACCACACTGCCAAACAGGAACTCAGCAAGAGAACACAGGCAGAATAAATCACACTTGAACAACCTGTCACAGAAAGATAAGACTCCGACGGTGGTTTGTCCACCCAGGACACTCCAGCGATCAAGTCAGTACTTAGTTATCTGTCAAGGATTGCAAATAGTGCTTAACTCACTAGCCAGAATATAAAAAGCGTATCATAGACCCACGAGGGTTCCTTACTTTTATAATTAGCACTAACCTGATCTCTGTAGAAGCCTAGCTTCAATAGACTTTGGCTCAATGCTCATCTTGGACTCCCAGGTAGATAGAGATAAACTCCCTAAGTGCTCTATTTTTATCCAGAGTAAGGTCCTCCTCCTCCATTCCAAGACTCTCGTCCCTTATCCGCTCATCTCAGATTCTAATATCTCCGCAGATAACCCCAGTCTAGTCGAGATCACCTGGGCATCATGACCAAGACACGTGGCACCTCGGTTGACACTTCGACGCCACCTTGGCCACGTGTTACCACTCACAAAATATGACCCCACACTATCTTCAATCAAATATTCAAATTTGATATCTTATTTTGTCTATAACCGATGTGGCAAATTGACATATACAAAATAGATGTCTTTAAAAAGAAGCATTCCACTTAATATGTCAAATTTGTTATTTTAACAAGGAAAAATTACGGGGGGAAAAAAAAACACTCTAGTAGCGTTTGGTTTGTATTTAAAATTATGATCTGAGTATGGAGTTATATTTTGAGTTTGTAAATTTTGGAATTATGATTTGAAAAGAGAAAGTTTGTTTGGTTATAAGTTTTGAAAAGAATTTTGAATTGAGTGGTGAATTTTTAAAATGAGTGTTGAGTTTGTGAAAATTTATTTGATTATAAGTTTTGAAAAGAATTTTCAAAATTTAATTTAAAAACTTATAACTCATACCCAAACACACAACTTAAAACTCTATTGAAAATTTTATTCAAAACTCATAACCAAATTCTTTTTAAAATTCAATTCAAAAAAATAATTATTGACAAAAACAATTTTTTTATTTTAAAATTTTAAAAATTCTGAAAATATATATATTTTCTAATTTTTTAAAAATTATTGTGACAAATTAATTTTTTTTTTGTTAATTTTAAATAAAGGTACAAATAATTTGTCATTTTGGTCTCAAATTTTTCTTTCTATATTTAAAAAAATATCAAAAACAAATATAATTTTTTTTTCTAGATAACAAGTGCCAATTGCTTAAAAAAAAAAAAAAAAAAACGCTCAGATAACAAGTCCCAGTTGCTTTAAAACAAAAAAATGTTCCGATCAATCGACCGGACAACCAGGTAGACCTAAAAATTCAAAAACGATCTACGCAGATGTCCAAGCGAACAACTGGGTAGATCAAAAATTCAAAAACTCTCTGATTTACCAAACATGTTTTTAAAATGTGTTTTGAAATTGATTTTGAATTATGATTTGAAAACTGTAAGCAAACAGAGGATTGATAACAGATGTGGAATCATGGTTTGAATTACAAACCAAACATAGCCTCAGAGTTTGAATAATTTAACAAAATAAATTCTAAATTTTTAGTTTTATCAATTTAAACTTTTTAATTTGTTTTCAATCTAAATCATTTACCAATTTTCGTTAAGTAATACAGACAAAAAAAATTATATTTTAGTCATTAAACTCAATATAGGTGTACATAAAATGTCTAAAATATCATTTTTTGTTGAGTTTAATCATTAAAATACCATTTTTTCGTTGGTTTTACTTAACGAAAAAATGCAAATGGTTTAAATTGAAACAATAAAAAGATTGAGATTTAAATTAATAAAATTAAAAATTCATAATTTATTTTGTTATAAAAGTTAAACTCTAGAATTTTTTTATTATTATTTTTTACTTTAAAAAGTAGAGGATAAAAGTAATAACTCTAGTAATTCCTTGTAAAATTTTAGTACCTCTAATGGATCATGTTTTCATGCTAATTCTGTCCGCTATGTTATTACCAACTCAATTGTGGAGTTTCAACGGTTGATACTCTTGCAATTTAAATAACTGTAAATCCTTTGAGGTAAATTTGTGAAGTAAATAAATAAAGAAAAATATTATTCTTTCAAAATTTTTGTGCAAAATCATTCACCAGAATAATGTGTTCGAAGGAGGGTTTTTTTTTTTTTTTTCACCAAACAAGTTTGTTTTTATTATATAATTTCCAAATTTTTTATAAACATAATAAACTGTAAATATGAACAAAAATATAAATTTTATTGAATTAAATTTTTATAACTTGTAAAAAAAAATTAAAATATAAAATGTTATCAAATAAACTCAAATGTTTTTGAAAACAAAAATAATGAATTATTTAGAAACACACATTATTTTTATGTTATTTTTATTTTTGTGAAAATAATTTTCAGAAATTCATAAACCAATTTAAAAATATTTCTTGAAAAGGGTTGTTTTCATAAAGTAACATAACAGAATGTTTATTATGTTACAATTGACCAAAAATAGCTTAGAATGAACTTTAGAGGCTTATATGATCTAGTCCCGTTTGGTAGAGTTGTGGGAAAGTGATTATAGATTATAACTTAACAGCTTATAGTTGTGAATATAAGCTGATTTTTGACTTATAAATTAAGCTTCTCCTCTCCCACTCAAAGAATAAATTGATTTTTAACTTACAAAAAGTTATAATCTGTATTGTTAAGCTGAGCCAAACACATCAAAATAATTTAAATTAAGTTAAAAACTGAAATAAACTTAAAATAAGTCCTACCAAACAGGGTCGTAATAACCTACACCTTAATTTGATGTGATTGTAAATTTTAAGTCTCAATAAAAAATTATGTTAGGTAAACAATTCAACTGTTATAACTCATCTGCCTCAATCTGTATCTTGATAATTACATCAATTTTGAAGTCCTATGTCCTGTATTATATTACTCAATAGTTACAACTACCTTTTCTCAATCTTGACAAGTGCATCAATCTGTATACTGACAATTACATTAATTTTGAAACATGTGTCATGTACAGCTCCACAATTATTGCTCATATTTCTTAATTTAATAACTAAAAAAAGCTTTTGTCATGAAATCAATTCAACTATTACAACTCATCTTTCTCCATCTGTATCTTGACAAATGCATTAATTTTGAAGCCCTATGTCATGTACAACTCAACAATAACACTTCATCTTTCCTAATTTTAATCTCGACAGCTATAAAATTTTTGAGTAATGATTCATCCCCCTTTTCCCCCCACCCCCTTTGACCCCCTCTCTCTCTCTCATTGGTTACCTTTTTTTTTTCTTTTTCTTTTTTTTCTGCTCCTCCAATCACCCCCTGCCACGTGGCAAAGGGGGGGTGAGGGGGTGACCCCCAAAAGGGGGTCCCAAGCATTATTCAAAATTTTTTGATGGTACTTCTCTAAGTTGTTTATATCTTTTTTTTATATTGAGAGTTTATGTCAGACTATTTGATATAATTTTTAATAAAAATAATTTAAATAAATTGAGAAAAAAAAATATGATTGTGCTGAAGGAAAAAGTGCTCAAAATTTTAAAAAAAATTAAAAATTATTATAAGCAACTTTATAAATTATACCAAATAGCATCTTTTGAGCTCATAGCCACTCGAGGCTAGCCATAGTCGGAGACTTTTTGGTAATCAAGATGAGTCCCCAGACAATGCTGGGAGGTGATACTCATCCCCATTAATTTTGAGCAATCGATTCTAGGATTATTAAGGTTGTGCCTAATTCAAAGATTTAGAAAAAGATTTCGAAAGGAAAATGAAAAAAAATCTCTCCCCAGATCTTATAATCAAACACAATCTAAATGAATCAAATCACTCGAGCTCAATTCTTATTCAACTCGGTAGGTAAATAAATTAAACTTGAAACATTTTAAAACTCATTAAGTTTTAAATAAATTATCATACTTTTAAGACTTATTACTAATTAAATCCTAGTCATAAATTTATCAATTTTTCTTATTTTTATAAATAAATTTACAGTAATAAATTTATCAATCAAGACCTGTAAATAAATAAGTCTAACTAATCGGACAGTATCCTTGAGTTTTCAAGCCAAGCCTAGTTTATAGCCCTGAGCGACTCCTTGTCACTCACTACGCATTCAGTGAGGCTGGAATCAAGCTGCCACATAGCTCAAGTCTGTCTTCAAGGAGCTCCTATAAATCCCCTGTATGTTGTACCCGCATTACCAGGCCAGTTTAGGCTCTCCTCTTGTCCAGCACCCCAACGGATCGGAACCCCTATGCTCGTCGCTCCTTTCAACCCCTTTTTTATCAAACAAAAAACAAAAACTAGATATTTCTCCAGAATCACAGTAACAATTGGGCATAAAGAGATGCCACAGTCGACAATCAGATCCCTGCAACAAAAACATATAAACATAACATGGCCATTGAAACATTTTTGTATCAAGTTCAAAAACCTCACATGAAAGTCACACCTTAGATTACTAAATCCAGAATAGGCATTTCTAACATAACAATCTTGAAAATGATAAACAGTAGGGGTTAAATGTAAACAAGGATGTCTAAGTTTTCTACTCTATCAAGACAGACATGCTAAACCTTCTACTTACCACCTAGTACTAGATACTCCCAACCAAGAAGAGACAGAGAGAGAGATAACTAATGAAAGTCCAAAGGCCTATAACTATTTTCACTTTCTCTTCTTAGCTGGTGGTTGATCCTCTTCATCCTCGTCATCTTCCTCCTCGTCCTCCTCATCGTCCTCCCCGTCATCTTCCTCGTCACCACCATCCTCATCATCGTCATCCTCGTCATCACTGCCCCCATTACCATTAGCCTCTGGATCGTCCTCAGGATCACCTTCATCATCATCCTCTCCACCTTCTTCACCAGGGAAATCTTCATCACCCGCATCATCATCATCGTCCTCTTGTTCATCGTCATCGTCGTTATCTTCTTCATCGTCCTCTGTGTCACTAGCATCTTTGTTTTCAGGACCAGGATGTTTCCTTCTATGAAGCTCATCGATGGGAAACCTGCTAATGATATTATTATCTACATGCTTAGTTGAAATTCCCCTTTCAATCAGACAAGCGGGAGGCTCGATCGAAGTACCAAATAAAAAAAAAATAAGCAAGAGGCAAGAGGCAAGAGACACCAAAAGAGAAATAATCACCTTTCATCAATCACGGGCAACTTTGGCAGTACATTAACGCCCTTCAGCAGAGATCCTGTCTGAAACCAAAGCACATGTTGACAAGCAGTGATAAGATAATTCCATTTCTTATTCCCATTAATCAAATGGGTACTTCCATAAACATATGCTATGAACAAAGTACATATAGAGAAAATGTTACCATTAAAGCACATAAAAACAAAGGCAGAACAGAAATAAGAAACTCAATAAAGCATATATATCTCAGCAAGCCAAGATTACAGTTTGATGTTTTAATGACAGAATTTGTTAGAACTTTAATTGTAAAATAAATCAATGAATCGAGATTGAACATGATCAAAATTTAAGAATATTCGCCTCAAAAGTTAAGCAATGCCAGAAAAGCAGTTAATCAGAAATAGTTAAGAATAAATCGACAAAATAAATAATTATCACCTATATTTCAAGAAAGTGGAATGAGATTCCTTGATATCTGTGCATTCAGAAATGGCATCGCCATATTTGCAATGAGGCGCCAAATAGTTGGCCCAGGAACTGTAAAAGAAAACTATTAAACCCCAGTTCCCAAACCTACATCCCCCAATTTTTGTTCATATTTTGGTCCCCAGGTCTTGCCATTTCTGTTTCCAAAAATTCCTAATTCAAATACATTTATGTCAACTGTCCAACAGAAGCCTAAATATAGACACAGAATGAACAATATTTATAAGACTTCTAAATAATACGAATACCACCAAAAGAGAAGAGACCATAGAGTTTGAAGGAGTGGTCACTCCATATGCAATAACAAGAAAAGTGATGTAAGAGCAGAATTGTTTTCTATCTAAACCAAAATACAGTACAGCCTACTAAGCAGCGAAGAAAGAAATGTGTAACAGCAGAATTGTTTTCTATCTGCAAAAAGAAACCTATCCAATCGTGTTGAATACCAATCACTATGCTTGATTTCACTTTTCAAAAATCACTTTTCAGAAAATTCTACTTTCTTATTTTCTGTGTTTTTTTGTTTTTACTGATTTTTTTTAATATTTTAAGCAATTTTTTTAATTTTTAGGCATACCTAACTTAGATGTATCTAAAAAGTAAAAAATTTGTAAAGAAAACCTTTTTAAAAATTCACTAAATACCCAAAATATAAAAAAAATACGAGAATTCAATACACTTTTTGTATTTTTATGTATTTATTAATTTTTTAAAATATTTTTTCACAAATTTTTTATTTTTTAGATACATCTAAGTAAGGTGCATCTAAAAAGTAAAAAAAATGTTTAAAATTTAAAAAATATTCACTAAAAACAAAAAAACACGAAAACCAAAAAACTTAGTTTTCAAAAAATTTAATTCAAAAAACTCAAACCAAACACACTGAATGATTTTTTTTTTTTTCATAAATAAAAAAATCTTTATTAAAAAAGCATCAAGATGATGTAAAAAATACAAAAGAGAAGCGCAACCCACAAAGGGCCAACAAAACTAAGAAATCAAATCTCTACAAAATCTACAAAAACCAAGACATCTGGATCAACCAACCCCGTAACCCAACTGTGGCTCATTTTGGGAAGTGGGTTAAAAGCCACTTCCCAACTTTTAACCCACTTCCCCTCTCACATAAAAAAGCCAAAAAGCCAAATGAGACCCTAAAAAACTCACATATTCCGCTCCAACCAAATCAACAACATCAAACAATGGGAAAAGAACTACCATCATTTTAGTGTCAATAGAGTGGGTCCGATGGGCATTGACTGCAAATCATTATGGTACATCATGAATCTACGATCCTAAAGTTGTCCCATATCTGTTAACTTGGCCATATGGCCATATGCTCATAGGCATTCACCAAAGGGTTTGTATCACTTTAAACCCCTTATTCTCCAATGGCCACAGAAGTGCCAGACACAAACAGCTTATCCAAAACCCCATAAAAGTCCCATAGACAAGCAATTTGAAAAAGGCCCAGTCTTTCAAGCCTTAAAACCCAATTTTTTTTTTCCCAGAAAAGAAGCAGAACATGAGGGGTTATGCTTGAGCTGAACTGTCTCTTCAAATAACATCACAAGTAAAAGCAAAACCCTAGATTCTCAAAATTTTAATTGAGACAAAGAAGATAAAATCCAAGACTCAAGCACCCAAATGAACTATATGTACAGTGTTATATCTGTGTCTGAAAAAGTGGGGGTAAAGAAAACAAAAACAAAAAAAAAAACTAGAAGTAAAATCCTTACTTCACAGAAAAGGAGTAAAACAAGCAAGACCCAATTATTCAAATTAGCCCTAAAAGCAAGAACAGAGCATAAAACCCAAAACCCAGATCACAAAAATCGCAGCTTTTTTGAAGCAACAAAGAGAATGGAAGATTATACCACCAAAAGAAAGCAAACATAGACTTCACAGAAAAAAGAAGTAAAATCAACAAAGATCCAATTACTCAAATTAGCCCTAAAAGCAAAAACAGAGTATAAAACCCAAAACCCAGATCATAAAAATCGAAGCTTTTTTTTGCAGCCAAGAAAGGGAATGAAAGGTTATACCACCCAGAGAAAGCAGGCGAGAGATCTCTGAGCAGCCAAAAGGGTCTCCACCATCACAGCTTCCACAACAGAGCACCAAATCATCTTCTCCAGAGCAACCACATCGGAGCTGACCTCCATTGCACCAAATTAAGCCCAAACACCCTGTAAAGGTATAGATATAGAGAGAGAAACAAGAAAGAGCAAACAGAGAAAGAGAGAGAGAGAGAGAGAGAGAGAGAGAGAGAGTACACAGGAGTGTTTCTTGTTAGGGTTGTTTTGGTGTCGGGACGAGAGTGAAAAAAGAAAAGAAAAGAAAACAAAAGAAAAGGGAAAAAGATTTTTAAAAAGAAAAATTAGGGTTTTGTATGTGTGTGCGGATTTTTTTTTTTTTTTTTTTTTTTTTTTTTTTTTTAAGGGTTTTGTGTTTGAATTGGGTTTTAGGGTTTTCAGTTGTGGGTGTTGCCGTGAATTTGAGATTTTTTGTCTTGTAGTGGGGTGGGGTGTTTTGTTCTGGTTCTAGTGTAGTGTGGTTGATGATTTTGACTTGACGCTTAGGATCTAGTGTTAAAGTTACTGACCGTTACGTATATAACGGTTTGAAAATTAAATTAAAAAAATTAGATTAAAAATTAAAATTTCTTTTTCGGTGGTACTACATATATCAATTAGTATATTAATTAATATATCAATATTAGGCTAAGTTTGGCATCTTTAAAAAAAATTCAAAAAGTCACTTTCTTATTTAAGTCATATTATCTTATTTAAATCACATCGCATCTCTATCACATCACTTCAAACCCAACCCATATTCTATAAAAAGTCAAAAAATACACTTATTTAGAACATCCAAAACAACCTCTTAGTTATGACATTATTATTGATCTCACTTATTAATCACATTACAAATATTAAAAATCTCTTAAATTATGCCACATCATTAATTAATATATTAATTACTATATTAATTGATCCATATAATATTATTTAGTGTTTTTTGTTTGAGTTTTCTGGATTAAGTTTTTTGAAAACTGACTTTTTTAGTTTTCGTGTTTTTTTGTTTTTAGTGAATATTTTTAAAATTTTAAATATTTTTTTTACTTTTTTAGATGCACCTTATTTAGATATATCTAAAAAGTAAAAAATTTATGAAAAAATATTTTAAAAAATTAATAAATACATAAAAATATAAAAAATGTGCTGAATTTTTGTTTTTTTTTTATATTTTTAGTATTTAGTGAATTTTTAAATGATTTTTTTTACAATTTTTTTACTTTTTAGGTGTATTTATATTAAGTGTGTTTAAAAAGTAAAAAAATTGCTTAAAATATTAAAAAAAAATAGTAAAAATAAAAAAACACGAAAAATAAAAAAATAAAATTTTCTGAAAAATATTTTTTGAAAAGTGAAAACAAGCACGGTGATTCTTACTTCTTTTTTTTTCTCTTTCTAAAAGTAGTGTCATGATAACATGTATTAGGGTGTACAAAATACTTAATAAATCAAATAACCAAACTAAAAGTTGAATTATAGATTTTCAAATTATCAATTAAATAGAATGGTGTTTAAATTTTGTCTAAATCGAATCAATATGAGAATTTTTTTCTTTTGATCATAAAAGGGGAGTATATTAAACACCAACTAGGTTACATCTGAAAATAGCAGAGTAACAAAAGAGCTAGGCAGATAGACATTCCATATATCAGGTAAAGAGTTGGAAGCTTGGGTCTTGGCCACCCAATGTGCCACCTTGTTGTTAGAATGACGTGTCCAAGTGAAGGAGAGGTGAAACTGTAGAGCAAGAGCACGAATGTCCAGTATCACAACACTAATCTCCCAAGGGGGAACCGTTTCTGAGACGCATAACTGAATCACCAATTGGCTATCACTTTCTATTTCCACATTCGATAACTTATGAGCTTGGATCATAAGGCAAGCCATGCGGACCGCAAGAGCTTCAGTAAGAATGGCTGAGGAGGCACCGAGAGTCCTAGCATTGCCATTAATGAAATGGCCATTGGAGTCCCTGATGATTGCTGCAACAGCAGCCTTGGAAGTCCTTTGGCAAAAGGCAGCATCACAATTAATTTTAAAACAACCATGAGCAGCAGGGGACCAAGCCGAAGACGGCTCGGGCGATGTAGATTCAAGAGGCGGGACTGAATTTTGAGAAAGCTGAAGCAGTAAATCTCATTCGGCCCATTCATGAGCAATACACTGGAGGGTAGCCGAGGGGTCCACAGGAATATGGTTGAAGATGAATTCATTCCGAGATTTCCAAATATACTACCCTATGGTAGCGACTCTGCTGAGAAGTTGCATTGTTACATGTTTGGGCAGACCTGACACAATTAAATCATTTGTCCATGAAGTCACATTAGGGATGGATCCTTTCTCCGCTCTTTAATTGATAGCACTTCCAAACCAAACTGCTTTAGTCCAAGGGCAGTCAAAAAGTAGATGTTCCACAATTTCAATCTCAGATTGGCATATGGGACAAAGCATTGAAGCACTGCATTTGCGTTTATAGAGGCCCGCCTTGGTTACTAACGCGTTGTTACAAGCTCTCCACCAAAAGTGACGAATCTTGGACGGGGTGTCTATTTGCCACATTGATTTCCACAAAATGTCCACAGTGGTCGTAGAAGAAGAAGGATCATGAACTGAAGATTTACCATTAATGGTTCTAGCCAGAGCATACCCAGACTTTACCAAATAAATCCCCGATTTGGTATGATGCCAAATCCTGCTATTATCTCTATCTTCCACTGCTATGGGAATGGCTTGAATGGCTACCCTTTCCTCATCAGAAATAGTATCACCCAGAGCATCTAAATTCCAAGTTTTGAAAGTTGGATCAATGATATCGGCCACAGAGATAATATTGCAGTCTATTGGCTTTGGAGAGGCAATTTTGTGACCCACAAAAGATGGGATCCACCGATCTTCCCAAAAGTAGACTTGCTTACCAGATTGAATTTGCCAACGAGTTCCTTCTTGGAGTAAAGCTCGGCCTTTAAGGAGGCTGCTCCAAGCCCATGAAGCATTAGCTCATTTTGTGGTCGTCATGAAGGTCGAGTGTGGGTAATAAAGTCCTTTATACATCCTAACCAGAAACGAATGAGGGTGTGAGAGAAGTCTCCAGCTCTATTTTGCAAACAAGCCTGATTAAATTCTTCAAAATCTCGAAAACCCATTCTTTCTATAACTTTGGGTTTGGTCATGTGATTCCAATTGGCCCAATGAATTCCCCTGCTGTCTGGGTTTCCCTTCCACCAAAAATTGCGAATCAAGGTATTGAATTTGGATTGAAAGGCTTTGGGTAAATCAAAATAAGCCATTGCATAAGTTGGTATGGCTTGAACGACTGATTTGATGAGAATCTCTCTTCCTGCTTGGGATAATAACTTTGATTTCCACAATTGCATCTTGGCCAGCTCTTTCTCTAATAAGAATCTATAAGCCTCACTTTTCGACTTTCCCCAAGAGGTTAGTAGGCCTAGATATTGAGCTTTGGGGTTGGCTTTTGTGACACCCAGCAGATGACAAATAGAATTGGATAGACTTGTAGAGGAGTTAGCCGAAAATAAAGCACCAGATTTGTCAAAATTGAGAAGTTGTCCAGAAGCATCACTATACACCTTTAGAACTTCCAGAATAGACTCACATTCGAATGTTTTAGCTTTGAAGAAGAGAATAGCATCGTCTGCAAAGAAAAGATGAGAGAGCGTAAGGCAAGTTCGGCGTATTTTGAGTCCTGAGATGGAGTTTGAGTTCAGCCTGTGAGTAAGAAGATTCGAGAGTACATCAGCCACCAAGAGAAATAAATACAAAGAAAGAGGATCACCTTGGCGGAGTCCACAAGATAGGGTAAACTCTGTACGTTTCTCTCCAATGGCATAGACAAAGAATTTTACAGAAGTGACACATGCCATGACCAACTGAGCCCATGTAAGGCCCCGGTGTCTCACATCGGGAATGGAGGGGGAGTTCCTGGGCTATAAAAGTAAAAACCTAGACTCTTATATAGCATCGAGGCCTTTTCCCAAGTGGTGAAATCCCTATTAGAACTCCCCAGTTAAGCGTGCTTAGGCTGGAGTAGTTCTAAGATGGATGACCCACTGGGAAGAATAAATCCGTGCGGGCGTGACCCAAAGCGGACAATATCGATGACGTGTAAAAGGTCGGGACGTTACAAATGGTATCAGAGCCGACTCTCCGGAGTACCGAGTGTGGGCCCCTGGCGTCTCTCGGTGCATGTGGGCGGGCTTGCGAGCTGGCAGGCTACTGCACGGGGACGTGCAGCCTTATGGGGGGTGGATTGTAAGGCCCCGGTGTCTCACATCGGGAATGGAGGGAGAGTTCCTGGGCTATAAAAGTAAAAACCTAGACTCTTTTATAGCATCGTGGCCTTTTCCCATGTGGTGACATCCCTATTAGAACTCCCCAGTTAAGCGTGCTTAGGCTGGAGTAGTTCTAAGATGGATGACCCACTGGGAAGAATAAATCCGTGCGGGCGTGACCCAAAGCAGACAATATCAATGACGTGTAAAGGATCGGGGCGTTACAACCCATCTAGCATGAAAACCCATTCAGAGAAGAGTTGCTTCCAACAAATCCCATTGTACCCGATCGTATGCCTTGTTAAAATCTAATTTCAGAGCTACTGACTCCTTCCCTCCCCCTTTCTTGTGTTTCAAATAATGAAAGACCTCATGGGCTAGAAGGATGCTGTCTTGGATGAAATGGCCGAGAACAAAAGCTGCTTGTTACGGAGATATTAAAGTCTTCAGATGCATTTTGAGTCTATTTGCTAAGACCTTGGTAATGATTTTCAAGAAAAAATTGCAGAGGCTTATGGGTCTGTATTGTTTGAGGCTTTCCGGGCAGCCACTTTAGGAATGAGAATAAGGTTTGTGTAATTCACCTCTCCGAGATGACAGCCACCTCCAGAAAAACTCTGCACCGCTTGACAAACCTCTGAACCAATAATATCCCAGTGTTTATGTTAGAATAGACTTGGAAAGCCATCGGGTCCCGATGCTTTCAAAGCCCCTAATTGAAAAGTAGCAATTCGAATTTCCTCATTACTTAGAGGCCAAAGGAGGGCCTCATTCATTTGGGGTGTGACTGAGGTGGGAACAACAGAGAGTGCTTCCTCAAAGTCCCTTGGGTCCAAAGCTTGAAACAGAATGGTAAAATAAGAAGTAAGGTGGGAGTTTATTTCACTCTCTGATTCTAACCACAGACCATCAACATTACGAAGCTTTACCAACTGATTTCTTTGGCGCCGCTGAATAACCGTCGCATGAAAGAAGGTAGAGTTGCGGTCCACATAACCCAACCAATTTATTCTAGAGCGTTGATGTTAGTACATTTCTTCCCGAAGCATAACAGCTTCCATCTCAGATTGGATTTGCCGAATTTGAGAGTCGATATTGTCTCAATAAGGTAATTGTTGGAAAGAAAGCAGTTTGGATTTCAAAGCAACCAACCTCGATCTGTTATCCCCAAACTCATGTTGACTCCATTCCGAAAACTCCTAAAGTTTCTGGACAATCTTTGCTATTGGAGAGCCCATTTTGCATTTAAACCAGTTAGCCTGAATAATTTCTGCACACCTCGAGCTTGTAGTCCACATGGACTCAAATTTAAACTGACGAGGGACCCGCTTGGGAGGAAAGAGACAACGTATAACAAGGGGACAATGATCTGAACCAATGAAAGCTTCATGATGCAATTGTGCGAAAAGAATGAGAAATCTCCAATTGACTGTTGCCAAGGCCTTATCTAATCGTTCCCATAAATGGTGTGATCCCCTCTGATTATTGGTCCAAGTGTATGGAGATCCTTTAAATTCAAGGTCCATTAAGTCGCAATCCGACATAAGTTGCTGGAAGGCTTCCATTCGCTGATGATTGCAGGAAACTAATCCCTGCTTTTCCCAAGACTTGCCAATCTCATTAAGATCACCAATGCATAGCCAAGGGAGAGAATTTTCCAAGGCTAGCTTCTTTATAGACTGCCAAAACATCCTTCTTTTAGCGCACCTAGGGGGAGCGTAGATGAAAGTTGCTAACCAGTCGGAACTACAAACATTGTTGGAGATAATACACTTGAAAATATTCAGGGACTTGTGTGTGATTTGAAGAGAGATATCATCTTGCCACCATAGGGCTAGGCCACCAGAACATCCCACGGGATCAACATAACTACTTTTTGCAAAACCAAGTCGACGACAAAAAACCTCGAGTTTCGGCTGCTTATTCTTTGTTTCCATGAGGAAAATTATTTGAGGGCGATGGGTTCTACATAACCCTTGGAGGATTTGGAATGTCAGGGGTCGCCCAATCCCCTGACAATTCCAGCTGATAATCAACATGGATTTTGTGGTTGATTTGGGTTAGCCACTAACCCTTCAGCAATCTTACTCAAATCAAGAGAAATGGTGGGGAATGGAGCCTCAAAAATTTCAGAATCGTGAGTTGCTTGACTCACAGCAATGGGCACTAGGTTAGGAAGTTTTTTTCCCTTCTTCCGCATCTTGAATCGCAACATCCACCAAAAGTCCCTTACGCAGAAGACGGTTCCCGCACCCCGAGGAGATTTCTTTAAGTGTCGTTTATAGATATTTCTTGGGAGGGAGGTTGTTCAGCTCGCAGCAGTTTAGAGGGGCGGGTCTGGGAAAGAAGATCGTTTGGGTCTTTCCTTTTAAGAGAGAGGGATTTGATTGCTTTAGACAAACAGAGGTCCAGGGTATAAGAGGGGCCCAAATTGTGAGAGAGTGGACCAGGAGAGTTTAAGGTTGAAATCATTGTAGTAAGGCCCAAACTATTAGTTGGGATAGTAGGGGATCTTTCACGTGGGCTGTCAGGAGGCTCAGTCACATAATATAAAGGCCCAGAAGACACAGGCTTTGTCAATGAGGTGGGCTCAGTAATATTTTAGGCTATGGGCGTAGTCCGGTCTAACAAACCCAGTTCAGAATTGGATGGCCTAGGTGGGGGGGATAAGGAGGGAAGGGGTGCAATACTAACCGATAACCCCTGAGTTGTTGGGACAACAGTCAAGCTGTGTGGAATAGGGGAGGTACTGCCAGCTACCTCTGAGACCGCAGTGGAACGTGCACATGACTCTACACAGGGTAGTGGAGGCGCGCTGTCCTTGCAAAGACTGCGTGATTCAGGAACATTCGTTTTTGAGGAAAGCGGTGGTGAATTTGGGCTACGCCAGCTGCCGAAAAGATCAACAAGACGGCCACCAGTTGCCTCAAAAGATGCATTCAGATTCTTGGCCATTCCAGCTCAAAATTCTGGTCCATAGCCGGAGACGTTTCCTTGCTCTTTGGAGGTGTACTTGCACATTTTGTTATCATGTCCCAATCTTCCACAATCATAGCAGAACTCAGATAGTTTCTCAAATTTGAAAGTGACCCAAATGTCAGAACATCCGCGGGAACGTTTGAGCCAAACCCCTTTTGGGAGAGGATCATGGGTATGGATCTTCACGCGGATTCTCAAAAACCTTAGATTTAAAAGGAGGCCTTCGTTCTGAGCCTCCACATGTATGAAACGGCTAATCCGATGGCCTATCAGTTCACCCGTCGTCCTGGTCATATTGTTAAAGGGGAGGCCATGAATTTGTACCCAAAACGAACACCATTGGAAGTCCACCTCCGCCGCTGTTTTCCCAGGTGAGAGAAGTTGAAAAACTAGAAGATGACCCATAATAGACCAGGGGCTGTCCCTCATAATCCGACTCTGGTCGTCTTCTTCGGAAAAGTGGAAGAGGAAAATGTTGTCAGTCCAGTGGGAAATGGATAAGCTACCTCGGATTTTCCACGCACCAGAGATTATAGTGGAGACCGCATTCTTATTAAGTGTTTTGGGAGCCAAGATTTTGCCGATAAGACAGAGCTTTAAAAGAGCCTCAGCCTCATTGGTCTCCTCCTCAAGAACAAGCTCTTGCCAAGATTCAGAAGGCGGGTATGAGGAAGCCATAGGTAGCAAGAGATAAGGAGGAGGGGAAAATGAGTAATAAGAGAAAAGCAGAGGGGAACGGAGGAAAAGACAAGAGATAGGGAACATAGTAAAGAAGACTGAGAGGGAAAAAGGGACTCAGACCCAAAAATGAGCTGCACTAAGGCAGAGAAGCTCTCATTCAAGAGAGAGAGGTTCTCATTCTAGAGAGAGATTGAATCACTGATCTAAGAGCGTTAGGATCAGTTTTGCTAATCAATATGAGAATTCAACATCTATATATTATAGTTTCGTTTGGAAAATTGGCCTTTTGACCTCGAAATTATTAATCATATCACTTTTTTTATTTTTTTATACATTTTTTTTTTGTAAAAAATTAAAAAATCAATTAAAATAACTAATTTTCAAACGAGCTATATATAAAATTTTATATATATTAACATATTTTTACTTCTATATTACAATGTATTTCATTGCACTACACTATTCATAGTTTTTTACTTATATTAAATAATTTTTTTATTATGTTTAAATGTTAAAAAACTTGTTTATTTTAATTATTATTTATTTTTAATTTATTCACTTATTTTTAATGTAATAGAACTGTGGTTCCAACCCAAGCTATATTGAGTTGAGTTGAGTTGGGTTGATTCTAATGCGTGATTGATTTGATTCCAAGTCCAAAAATTTTGAACCGTTCATGATTAGATTGTTTCTAAATTTAGTATCAAACTAACCGATGCACACCCCTAGTCATAGGGACACAAGAAAAATATTTATTAAAAAAAAAAATACAATGGAAAAAACTAAAAAAAATAATTGAAATAATATTTAAAAAAAAGATTTATATATCTGTCTATTTAATATAGATATATAATAGAAATAGAATGAATGGTGATTATAATAAATAATTCATGAATAATGAATCAACGTCTGTCTATAAAAAATTCTGAACA